AAAAATATTTTTTAGTTATTGATGTACCTTTATTTTTTATTAATTTATATGTGGTGCACATGCAAGGTGAAATACATATATATCATTTTACTGAATATTTGCAAATATTCTCAGTGAATTAATATATACTCTTTTTTAGATTATATAGTCCAAATACCTAATTGTGTGAAATCAAGTTCCTTTTCTACTTGTGCATTGTCAGTGTATAGAATCTAACTGATTTGTGTGTTTGCATGTTAATTTTGTTTCCTGCAACTGTTGCATTCATTTATTAGTTCTAGTAGTTAGTTTTGTAGAATCTTTAGAGCTTTCTATAGATAAGCTAATGTCATTTGTGAACAGAGATAATTTTACTTCTTCATTTCCAATTTGGATGCCTTTATTTTTTATTTTTTTCTTGTCTAATTGTCTGGCTCAGACTCACAATGCTATGTTAAATAGAGATAGTGAAAGCAGGTATCTTTGTCTTGTTCCTGATATTAGAGGAAAAGCTTTTAGTCTTTTGGCATTAATTATGATGTTACCTGTAGGATTTTCACATATGCCATTTATTATGCTAAGGTAGTTTTATTCTAGCTCTAGTTTGTTGAATGTTTGTTTTTTTTTAAAATCATGAAATGTTGAGTTTTTAAAAAAGAAATTGTATATTGAGATGATCCTCTGCTTATTTTGTTTGTTTTGTTTTTCATTCTGTTAATGTAGTATGTTACATTTATCAGTGTCCACATATTGAACTGTCTTTGCATTCCAGGATTAAATCCCATCTGGTGATGGGGTATGATCCTTCCAAGGTGCTGTTAGATTTGATATGCTAATATTTTATTAAGGATTTTTGCATGAATATTTACTAGGGATATTGGTCTGTAGTTTACTTGTAGTTTCTTTGTCTGATGTCAGTGTAATGCTGACCTCATAGAGGAAGGAAGTGTTCCCTCCTCTTCAACTCTTTGAAACATATCAGAAGTTTAGATGTTAATTCTTTCTGAATGTAGAACAGAATTCTCTAGCAAAGCCATCTGGTCCTGAGGTTTTCTTTGGTGGCAAGTTTTTGATTATTGATTCTACCTCCTTACTAGTTATTGATCTGCTCAGATTATCTTTTCTT